CTCAACGAAGAAGCACTTATAATTTTAAGTGATCCTGAATCAATACCAAGAAAAATTCTTGATAATTTATTATTTTATGGAATTTCTAATCAATTTTCTGAACATGAAAATTTGTTAATTAATCAGCTTAAAAAATGTTTAACTTCTGATAAAACAATTTCAGAAAATAATCCAAATTTCTTTTTAGTAACACCTCGTCCTGGTACTATATCACCATGGTCTTCAAAAGCCACAAATATCGCTCACATGTGTAATTTACAAAATTACGTTGAACGTATTGAACGTGGTGTAGCTTATTTGTTTGGTACAAAAGATTTTACAAATATACCTTATATTACTTCTGAAAAATTATGTTTGTTCGATCATCATTTATATGATCGAATGACTCAAATTTTAATCAAATCTATTCCTGCTTCTGATTCTATATTCAAACATGGATTTCCGGCACCTTTAAGAACCATAAATCTCATAGATGATAATGATAAAAACATTTTAATAGATCATAGTTTAGCAAGAGATAAATTAGTTAAAGGAAATCAAAATCTTGGACTTGCACTTGCTGATGATGAAATAGATTATTTAGTTGACGCTTTTATTGGTAATAATTCTTTAGGTAGAAATCCAACAGATGTGGAACTTTTTATGTTTGCTCAAGTTAATTCTGAACATTGTCGACATAAGATTTTTCGTGCTGATTGAACAATAGATAATGAAAAGAAACAATATTCTTTATTTGATATGATTCGTAATACTCATAAAATACATCCAAAACGTACGATTTCTGCATATTCAGATAACGCTGCTGTATTACAAGGATTTAAGGCTACAAGATTTGCACCGGATTGTAATAAAGATCATGAATATATTTTGTTTGATGAAGATGTTCATATGGTAGCAAAAGTTGAAACACATAATCATCCAACAGCTGTTTCACCATTTCCTGGTGCATCTACTGGTTCAGGAGGGGAAATTAGAGATGAAGGTGCTGTTGGGCAAGGATCAAAGCCCAAAGCCGGATTAACGGGATTTAGTGTATCAAATCTTTTGATTCCTGAATTTATTCAACCTTGGGAAATTGATTTCGGAAAACCTGATCATGTTGCTTCTGCTTTAGATATCATTATTGAAGCTCCTCTTGGTGGTGCTGCTTTTAATAATGAATTTGGTCGTCCAAATATTACTGGATATTTTCGTACATTTGCTCAAAAAGTACCTAAAATTAATAATGATGATGAAATTCGTGGATATCATAAACCTATAATGATTGCTGGAGGTGTTGGAACAATTCGTCCAAATCATACTTTCAAAAAAAAAATTACACCAGGTGCCCATCTATTTATACTAGGTGGACCTGCAATGTTAATTGGTCTCGGTGGTGGTGCTGCATCATCTATGGCTAGCGGTGTTAATACGGCTAATTTAGACTTTGCATCCGTGCAACGTGATAATCCTGAAATGCAACGTCGTTGTCAACAGGTAATTGATGCATGTACTGCATTAGGCGTCACCACCCTAAAAAAACTCCGTTATCGGGCTGAAATTTAAAATCCAAGATCAGCAAGATCAGGTGTAACATAAAAGAAAATACCCTAAACCCTAGCCCTAACGCGTAGCGAAATTATTTTTTTAGGGTGGGGTCTTATTTTTTTTTTAGGGTGGGGTCTTAATTTCTTTTTTAGAGTGGGGTTCTTAATTTGATTATCATCATCAAATTGAT